ATCGATATTTATAATCATTAATTTATTTTTTCTAAATCAAAAAACCTTTTCAAAATAAATTCATAATCATTTTCGCACAAACATCACGCATAGAAAAAACTTTTGCTGTGACATCAAATTACGTTTGCTAATATAGGGACAGCGAAAAAATTTGCTGTGGGGTCAAAAAAGTTTGCTGTGACAGTAAATTTTTAAAAATTAAGACTAATATTGTTTATCATAGAAAACTTTTTCATTGTCATAGCAAAAACTTTAGCTGTGGTTATTAATTTTGATAGATCCGATAGCAAACTTTAGTTAGCATCTGTAAGCCATTTCACTGCAAAAAGAAGTATCTTATTATAAGACACATTGGAAGCAAGTTACCAAAAGAATCTTCCCATCTATCTTCTATCTTAAGAAACTAATGCATTTTAAGATGTTTTTGATAACTTAGAAGCAAGTTGTAAAAAACATCTTAAAAAGGCGAACAAAATATCTTAAAATAAGATATTTCTTTTTGCAGTGTTGTTTTTTTCCGTGAGAATAAAAATTTCAATTTATTAATGACTACCTTGAAAGAATTTTCTTATTAAGATAATTTATATTCAGAAAATTACAAAATAAAAGTAAAATAGTTAATTACACTATACAGGATGATTTTTATGTTCCGTATGCCCTAAAAATTTTCTTTTAATTTTACCTTTTTTTGTGTTTAAAAAACGGAAAAAATGAGATTAAAAAAAAATTTTAGGGGGTCCGGAACATCCTTAATTTATTTATCTTTTGTATACTATATAAAAACTTTAGTGAAAAATATCATTAACACGAAAGAAAATACAAATAATCTCAGGAACTGTAATTTACTTCCGAAAACATCTAAAGCCGCAGGCAATGGCTGACTAGTTCTAGACCCTTTATTTATTGCTTTCTATACCTAAGTTATAATTTATACCTAAAAGTGTCTATCCTGGTTCTTTCCAAATTCGCTCAACTAATATCTGTTTAGAAAACATCGTTGCATTATGTTTCACATTTACGAGAAAATTTCATATTTTCAAACATAAAACACTGAACACGGAAAAAAAGGAATTGATGGCTTACACATATGTTAACTGATGTTTATTATCGGATCTATCAAAATTAGTAACCACAGCTAAATTTTTTTGCTATGGCAACGAAAAAGTTTGCTATGATAAACAATAGAAGTTTTAATTTGTAAAAATTTACTGTCACAGCAAGCTTTTTTGATCCCAGTTAATTTGCTGTCCCTATATTAGCTAACGTAATTTTCAATGACAGCAAATAGTTCGCTGCCGCAGCAAACTTTTTCTATGCGTGAAAAAGATGAGAAATCAAAATTTAAGATAAAGGTAACGAAATCAAAAAAAATTGTTGACGAAAGAAAAGATTTACCTGTAACAGCAAAAGTTTTTACTAGAATAGGCAAAATTTTTAATAGTTTAAATTGAATCTTTTCCTATTTTAGTGAAATTTTTTGCTATTCCAGATAAAATTTTCTTGCCATGTAAAAATTATACACATGTAAGAAAAAAAAACAGTTTGGAAAATTAGTTAAAATTTTCTAATAGGAAATTAAATGAAGTCAATAAGTATAAAAGCAAGCGCGCGTTAATTGTTGAACACACGTCAAGTGCGCGAAGCGTGAAGAGACACGCGTATTTGAAGGTTGATGTGCGTGACTGTGAATAGAGTAGGGTAAATATATTGAAGAACTTGAGGGAGCGAGAAATCGTTCTACGTGAACGCCCTTAACTCGTATATATATATATATATATATATATATATATGTATGTATACATATGTGCGCTCCACTTCCGACGCTTAGCGCCGCGACGCATCGTCGCTTTGCCACGCGCGATTATACCACCCTCACTATATACACATGTTGTATATTTGTAGAAATCACTTCTCTCCCTTATTTTCTAAATCCGCAGAAATCTCGATACACTGATTTATAATTATAGATTTCTTTGTTTTTATTATCATTATATAGTTATTATAATTTTTTTTTCTTTATTTTTATTTATTTATTTATTTAAAAAAAAGAAAGTTCCTATAAAGAAAAATAAATTCTTTATTTATTTTTTTATGTACATATTTCTAGAAAAGAAAAGAATTTTATATATATTTTATTATTTTGTTTTTGACCTATTTATTAAATTGTGTCATTTTGAAAAATTATTTATTTGTGTTTTTTTATAGTATATGATTCATATAAAATAGTATATATATATATCTATTACTATAATTGTAAGTCATATTGTGAGTCAGAAATTCTGAGACGGTCATTTGCATCATAATATTATTTTCCTTATAGTAATCTACTTTATATATAGGAAAACAAAAATAAATTCATTATCTTTTTTTCTCATAAAAATAATTATTTATTTTTATTGACAATTAAGAAAAGTTGCAATTATCAATAATTCTTTTTTAAATAAACATTCAAAATTAACCTCGAAATCAACAAAATAAATAAAAAAAATTATTATTTTTTTTTAACAGTAAAAAAATATAATTATATGTTAATAAATAAAAACCCCAAATAAAAGATGTATTTGTCTTCAGAGCCAAGTAAATATTGTTTTAAATAAATTTTATTTGGTTTAAATAAAAATTTTATTTGCACTAAATAAAATTTTTTCTCTGTTAAACTTAAGACAAAAAATCAGTAATTATATATTTTTGCTACTTTTTGATTTGTTTAGTATTGAGAAACTGGAATTTCCGGAAATAGAAATACAAATTAAAATTTAATTATCTCGTATATGCATTAACCATTGTATACATATATACATAAATAAAAGGTAGATATATATATTTTTACCATAAATGATAAAATTTCTTTAACATAAATAATTATTTACATTAACGAAAGTCAATATCAGTTTAAAGTTTTTTAAATTATTTATTTTTATTCAAATAAGTAATTTCTTATTTGTAGTATTGACGTCAATACATAAATAAATAAATCTTTAACAAACCGTATCAGTTTATATACAAATAAAACGAAAGTATCAATTTAGTATTAAGTAATCCAGAAATAGAGGATTAACATATATATATATATATGAAAAAATATTAACGATTGAGAATGTAATGAAATCAAAAAGGAAAAAAAACTGTTTCATAATGAATCCATATATAATATATATATATATATTATACATTGTACACTCAGCGTAATAAATTTTTATGCTAATGATTATATAATAGATAACAGGTCATATAATGCCTTGTGTAAATAACTTTTTTTCTATTAAATCAGAACATTTGAACAAATGTATATTTTTTTTTTGTTAATATTTGTAATCTATAATGAAGCCTCTCAAGAGTCATTATTATGAAAATCGATCGTTTCTATTCTAATTTGTGCGATTTGTAATATAAATAAATTTAAATGTGCGATTATAAAAAAAGCAATAATACAAGCTTTTGAAATACTTTGCTAACACTTTTTTAACGAAAAAAATATAAAGCAATTTGTTTCTCTCTTTTTTAATGATAATTAATAATTACAATTCTCATCTCTATTTTAATTAGTAAAAAGTAAGCCACTAATTTAAATAAGAATTTTCACTAAATAGTAACTTTTACTACTAATGAATTATTAGCTCACTTTTCACTAATTTAAAATTAGTTCCTATCATGTTACACAAAAAATAATTTAATATTAGTCAAAATTTCTAAATTTGAATATTTTTGAAAATTCACTAAAAAGCAAATTATTAAAAAAAATTATTTTTAAATCAAAAACTATAGGATTAATTTTTATTTTTCTTACTTGAATAATAATTAAAAATTAGTAGAAATTTTTACGAATTTGAACTATAGAGGACGATTCTCTCTAAATCTGAATTAGTGAAAAGTGAGCTACTAATTTAAATTAGTAAGAATTTTCACTAATTTTTAATCACTTTTTACTAAAACTTTAGTAAAAAAAAAATTTTAAACTATTAAATCAAATAGTAATATTTTACTAAAAATTAATAAAAATTCTTACTAATGTAAATTAGAAGCTAATTTTTCACTAATTCAATTTTAGAGAGTTAAATAAAATTAATGAAATAAATTTAGGTTTAGAGAAATATTCTTATTTTAAGAATATTCTTAAATTAAGAATATTCACGAGATTATAATATTAACACTTTTAATTATGAGATAAGAAAATATTTGAGATCTCAAATATTTTAATATCCAAAAATAATACACCTATATGATTCAACACAAATTTATCTAACAAAGTTGAAAGTTCAGTAGGTTACATCTCGATTTAACTGGAATTTTTAGATTAAATTAAAAACAACAATACTTTTATACACTCGAAATTAATTTTTTTTTTTTGTTGTTGACAGTACTAAAAATTAACAAAAATAATTATTTTCTTTACAGAGGAAATTTCCAGGGTGGCGATATTTTTTATGATTATAAATTCCCAATCAATTTTCTGTTTTTTCCGGTCAAAATTTTGTAAATAATTAATTATTTCACACAAAAAATGACCATTTTTTAAAAAAATTCATAATTTTTTAATATTAATTCTTCTAGTAAATTTTAATAATGCACTACTACAAAAAAATAATTAGATATACTTATTTCAAAACGCTACATTTTTTTGAGAAATTAATGCAACAAGATGTAATAGACGATATCAATTTTTAGAATATCTGAAAAATTCCCGCATTAACTATATGAAATTCCCGGTTATATCGTTACCCTAATTTCTTTTCTATTGCAAAATTTATTGCAAATAAAGGAAATTAATAAATGAAAATTTTTAAATATTTATTTATATTTACTACTATTTACAAAACTTGTTAATACTTTCATATAACGTTCTATACATAAACATTATATACAAAAATAAAAGAGATTGCCAAGAATATATATATATATCAATACATATTCCTTTGGCACGTGTCAAAACTGAATTTTCAACAACAAGTATATAAGCACGATCAATTTTTTTTTCTTATTTTATAATAATCAATGCTTACCCAATATTTGTTAAATTCTATCGAGCACGACTCGAATCCGACAATCTTCGAATAATCAGTTCCTTCCACTTCAAAAAATTAGGGGGGTAAACACAAAAAAAAAATTCGCGTCACTCCCGCGCAATTTATATAAAACTCCAATATTGTTCACGTCTCACATGAAAAAAACACTTATCTCAAGAATCATTTTTTTTTCTTGTTGTTCACACAATATCTTTCTAGATCCGACGCACAACTTGTTTGTAAATAAAACTCCCGCTATGACACAAGATATTTTTCAATTATCACCACTTGTTTATTATCACCCACAATTTTCTCTCAACTTTGATTAAAAGGAAAATTCACTTGTCTCTTTTAATTCTCCAGTCTTGAAAAAACTTTTTCTTTTTTAAAAAAAGTATTTTTTTTTCTTTTTTTGTAAAATAGTATTTTTTTAATGATACTTTTAAGGATATTTTTCCTTTTGTAAATTATGAATTTTCAATGAAAAAAATTGATTGAAAATTATAAAAGAAATTTTATTGAGCACATGAACACAAATATATAAACTTAAAATCTTTCCAGTAGCGCGGTCTCGCGCCGACTGCGAGACGAAGTTGCAGCGGGTGTTTGTGAGTTTCACCTTCGGTCGAAGTCGGTTCCCTTCGCCCCTCTCCACGTGCACCGGCACATCGAGTTCCTTCGCACTCCCCCTCTCTCTCTCGCTCATTCATTCTCTCTCTCTTTCTTTCTCGTCCCGCTTCTGAAAATCGCACCCTCGCACGGTGTACCAGCGCCACTCTCTCCCCCCCACCCCACTGTACCCCTACCCCTATTGAAGTGGTGGTGGTGGTGGTCGGCCACCCCCTCCCACCACCACAAGCACGGGACGGTCGTCGACAGGACTCGCCCCCCTACACACGATTTCTATATACAGTAGATACAGTAGGCGCGAGGTAGGCACACCAAGTAGATACACGAATACTTGTTGTGGCGCACGTATGTGAAATCATACGAACCACGCCTACTCCCTACTTAAATGCATTGTGTCTCACAAAACTCTTTTTCCCTCGGTAAAAATGAACCCTCCCCCTCTTATGGGCGTTTTTTTTTTTTTTTTTTTTTGCGGAGGGAGGCATTAGTTTTCTTCCTTTTTTTCCAACCCCTCATATTGAGTATATAGTGATTTGTTAGGGGTATTCTTCGCTTTTAAGAAGAAGAAGAAGACTTGCGGGTTATATGGTCATAAAGCTATGCGAGAAAATTGCAGAGTGACTGTTTTTTTTCTCTTGGGCAGATGCGAGAAAATTTTATTATTTTCGATTATTCAATTTTAATATAAGAAGGCGGTTTTTATCTGGCAAAGAATGATTAAGTATATATAGATATTTGTTATATACACGGAAAGAAATTTTCTGTAGAATTTACAGAAACTCCTGCGCCATCTACTGATGTTTCTCCAAATAGAGAAATTTGTAGAATCATTGGCATTAAAATCTGTTAATTCTACAAGTTTGAGCTACAGTTCTTAAAAACTGTTGAGTGACCAAATTATGTATAATATATGGGGATAATATATATTTGGTACAATATTTCTTATAGGTTATATTCTCCTCCGAATACATTAAATTCGCGGAACATTATTGTATAAATTAGTATAACTTCTATGTAAATAAATTCATCCTTCAATAATTTTCTAACAAAAAAAAATGAGGAGCAAGTTTTCAAAACTTATTATGATAAATCCACTTTTTCTTATGTCGAGAAATTGAAACAAACGACTTTTCTCACTTAATCACTACAGTTAATTTTAAAATAACAAATTTGTAATAATTTATTTCTATAATAATGTTTATATACTTAAGACGTTTCCTTTTTAATTAAACTTTCTTGCCGACACTATGATAATAATAAAAACACTAAATTCGCCTTAACCTCTCGCACTCAATCGTACTCAGCCTTAGTCGAATCACTGCATTGTTTTCGCGCATGCGTTAAATCCTCACAGAAAATATCTGTAGAATTAACAGATTTAGGAACATGTAAAATCTTCAAATCGATGTTAAAGAATTACCAGAAAATTTTTTTCCGTGTAGTTATGAAACTGATGGTAGAATGGGGTATACTGTAAAAAATTTTTTGGGGAAAATTCCCAAAAAGTCTGGTGACGTAATATACACCAATCATTTTGGGAATATTCCCCAATATTTATTGGGGGAACTTTATTTTCAAAATCTTATGGAAAATTACCAAAAATTTTTAGGAAAAAATTTTCCTAAAAAATTTGTTGATTATTCCCTACAATTTTTTGGTGAATTTTCATCAACAGTTTGGTTAAATTACCTAATTACTATTGAGTATTTCCCAAAACTGTTCGGTCAATTTTGCTGAATTTTTAGTGAAATTTTCTAATCAACACTGAATATTTCACACAATTTGTTGGTGAATTTTCACTAAAAGTTTCTTAATATTACCTAATTACCAAAGAATACCGCCGACGATTTTTTGGCGAATTTCGCTTAAATTTTTGTAGAAATTTCCAATTAATAATGAATATTTCCCGCGATATTTTGATGAATATTCTTTAAATGTTTATAGAAATTAATCAATTACTGATGAATATTTCCCAAAATTTTTTGATGAAATTTGCTTAATATTTTGTGGAAGTTCCCAAATCATAATTAATATTTCCCTAAAATTTTGTCGAGATAAAGAAATCAAAAATTATTTATATTAATGAATTTAATGAAATTTTATTAATATAAAGAAATCTATATATATTTTTTGTTAAAAAATAAATAATAAAAATATGATTTAATTACAACTTCTTTAAATTATGGAGTGAAGAAATTTTCACTTAAGTCGACGATGTTATCTATAATAGATACTGAGTAGATTTCCTTGTCCCTAATGTGGCTCTTCTACTCTCTAAATCTAAATTAGTAGATACTATAATGAAAGAGTGCGTATTCGTTTATCAATTGAATTAGTAACATAGTAACAGTTTTGACTAATTTGTAGTAAAAAACTACTAATTGCTAGTAGAAAACTGCTAATTCATGGAGTAAATCGGCTTATTACTAATTTGAAATAGTAAAAAATATGACTTACTCCATGAATTGGTATAGTTAAACTGTTACTAATTCAATTGGTAAACGAATACGCACTCTTTCATTAGTAGAAAACTACTAATTCAAATTTACAGAGTAAGAAAAACTGCCTACTATCGGTTCAAAATGTAAAGACCCCTGTCTTTGAATGCTTATAACTCAGGTAAAAAAAATTGTATTACATTGAGACAACTAGGAATCAGCAACTACTCTATTTCTACGTTACTATACGAAATTGCAACAAGCAGAAAAATTTTTTGCATCACTTATGGATTTTAGAAGATAAAAAATACATGGTTTTTTACACCATTTTGACAATACGGTCTACTTTGAAACCTTATAGCTTATTCAATAAAAATCGTATCAGTATATGCGAAATTTTTTCTATAATGTTTGAACCCTTCTGAAACATAATATTAAAAAAAATTTCTCTTATTTCATTAACTTTTCAAGATTATTTAAAACAAAGTTAAAAAGTTATCTTCTTGCCGAATAAACACACAGATTTGAAACAATTTTTCTATTCTTAGCTTTTTATTTACTATACTTTAAGGACCTCTTTCAAGTAATTTAGCAAAGTTATCGGTAAAAAGGGACCTGCACTTTGCTTTAATGGGAGTAATAAAGCAAAAAACGAAAAACATTTTCATGAATAATTCTTTGGAAAAATTTTTTAAACAATTTTTTTATTTTTGTTTCGTTAAAAGAATCTTTTATTACACAATTTGCAATTTGTTTCAAATCTGTGCGTTTACACAGAAAATAAAAAGGCATTAAAATAAGCTGCAAAGCTTATTATTTTAATTCAATTTTGCTTATTTTAATCCATTTTGGCATTAAAATAAGCACACGGAGAGAAATAGATGGTACGGTAGTGGGTAACATAACCATACTTTTTGTAACATTTTTGATAGTACCGAGTAGCATAATGATGGTACCGGATAACATCTACTTTTTACCATCTTAAGATCATAAATTCTTGCCTACTATTTCTCTCCGTGCAAAATTGGATTAAAATAATAAGCGTTGCAGCTTATTTTAATTCCTTTTAATTTTCTGTGAGACCGTTGTCAAAATGGTGTAAAAAACCATGTATTTTTTATCTTCTAAAATCCATGGATTTTTTGCATCACTTATGCATAAGTGATGCAAAAAATTTTTCTTCTTTTTGCAATTTCGTATAGTAACGTAGAAATAGAGTAGTTGCTGATTCCTAGTTGTCTCAATGTAATACAATTTTTTTTACCTGAGTTATAAGCATTCAAAGACAGGGGTCTTTACATTTTGAACCGATAGTATAAGTGCCTGTGATGAGACTGTTACACTGATTCCAAACAGCCCCGTGCAGAAATTGCCACTTTTCATCCCGATTACCGACCTGGCCCCGATCCGATTTCCTGTTCTGGCCCCGGGTTAGTAAATTTCTATTGGCCCGACCAGGGCCAGGCCTGGTTGTCATATTAAAAATTTTTAAAAATAAACTAGTGAAAATACATATTTATAGCATTTTATGACATTTTTTACTCTCTAAATCTGAATTAGTAAAAATGTTTACTAATTTGAATTAGTGACTCACTTTTTGCTTATTAATTTGTAAAATTTTACTTATTATTAGTAACTTTTACCAACAATTAGTAAAATTTAACTAATTCCACCATCATGACAAGGATATAGGAATATAATTTCGAGCAGCACTGGACAGTGCCATTAAAAAAACTGGATCACGGAGAGAAATAGATGGTAAGAATTTATGATCTTAAGATGGTAAAAAGTAGATGTTATCCGGTACCATCATTATGCTACTCGGTACTATCAAAGATGTTACAAAAAGTATGGTTATGTTACCCACTATAATCTAGATAGTAACAGATAGAAACTAGATAGCTGTCCGTATATATATGTAAGATCAAATATGGTACCTGGTACTATCTAGATAGTACCCCGTACCATCTATTTCTCTCGGTGATAGCTTTTAGTCGTGGAAATATCAAGTTTAACTTGAATTATTTCCAAGAGTGTTGGTCAGCCACTATACTGTAATTTAATGCAAGTTTAGCTAGAATCATCCGCGACACGAAAAAAACTGTCTAGTAACTTGACGAATTCTAGTGGTGCTATGACAAATTTCTACTCGGGTAGTAGTATAGTAGTACTAGTAGTATAGTAGTAATAGTATAGTAGTAGTATTTGTAGTTGTAGTAGTAGTAGTATATATAGTTAAAGATGTAAGTAGAAGAAGCAGCGTCATTTTAGTTAAGTCCACTTGAAGTAGATACAGATTTTCTAGGAAAGACAAAATTTACTTTTCAAGAAGAAACAATATTAAAGATGATTGAATGTCCAAAAAGTAGTTTTTTCTTATAGGAAAAATCCGTCTTCAGTAGGTACAGACTATCTTGGTAAGACAAAAAAATATATAATTTTTATAGTAATAATGATTAGTAGTTTAAGTCAATATTAAAGAATATAGGTAGTTTATATATTCTTTGACGTTTTTTCGGCATATACATATAAAATTTACATAAAAATG